TTCGGTAGATTTGACGAACCGGTTCTACCGAATAGGTGCGAACTGGTAGGAACCCACCTCTGGACTGCACCAAGTAAATATCTGGAATCTGGAGTTCTTAATCAGAGGGCCTTTTTGTTACTGTTCGGCTGGGTTTTTGTGCTTCTTGATACCCGTTATCAAACCATATTAGTAAAAGTAAAGTGCTAGAAGCAAGCAAAAACTTTTTTCTGTTTCCCTTGAGTCATTCAAATAAGCATTGAGACATTTAGTTGCGGGGGGGGGGGTATAAACTCTGAAAAGCTTTACGGGGGGGATGTTTTGAGAAGAAAAAAAAGTATTTTGAGCAACCAATTCAGTTTGAGAATAGAATAGAATATAGATTAGACTAGGCTAAGGAGAGGAGAGGGGAGAATAGAATAATTATTTTATTGGCCAAGTGTGATTGGACATATACAAGCTCTCAGTTATATATTATTGGGGACGCAGTGCCTAAGATGCTGAATTTGTTGATCAGAAAGTTTGGCAGTTTGAATCCCTAGTGCTGCGTAATGGAGTGAGCTCCCGTTACTCATCCCAGCTTCTGCCAACCTAGCAGTTCGAAAGCATGTAAAACACAAGTAGAAAAATAGGAACCACCTTTGGTGGGAAGGTAACAGCATTCCATGCACCTTCTTCAGCATTTAGTCATGCCGGCCACATGACCACGGAGACGTCTTCGAACAACCATGGCTCTTTGGCTTTGAAACGGAGATCAGCACCTCCCCCTAGAGTCGAGAACGACTAGCACATATGTGCGAGGGGAACCTTTAAGCTCTCAGTGTACATATAAACAACAAAGTGATCAATTGTAAGTCATAAGATACATTCATAAATCATTAGATACAAACAATAAGGTGATATCATCGTTAGATACCAATACGGGAAGGAAATAGGAAGGATGAAAAGGATAATAGCAATACAGCCCTACCACATGGATAAATATCCTTAGACGTAAGACAGTGCTGTGGGAATTAGGGATTTAGCAGAGGGATGGCAATGCAGAAAAGCTCAGTGTTTAGTTGTTTTGGCATGCAATGCCCTATACTTATTATTATATTTATTATTATATAATAAGAAAGTATTAATTATAGCATTAATACATATAATTATAATATATATTAATTTATAAATATAAATATATGTTCATAAATATATATCACACAATGTATTATATAATAAGTTATGTTGTGTTGTATTATGTTATATTATACTATACTATGTTATGTTTTGTTACGTTACGTTGTGTTATGTTATGTTTGTATTATGTTGTGTTGTGTTGTTTTGTGTTATGATTTTCTGTGTGTGTGTGTGTGTGTGTGTGTGTGTGTTGCATTTGTGCTGATAAATAAGGCAACATAAAAAATGGCTTTCTGCCTGGATGGCTCCCAGAGTGAGCCGATAGACAGAAAAGGGAAGCAGTATGCTAACTCCCATATTTGGGCATATCAACGGTTGTGACACGACACAATACACACACACACACACAGTATATATGTGCTGTGTTATGCTATATTATTATATTATTTTTATTTTATTTTATTTTATTATCTTGTTTCCATGAAAATAAGATCTCCCTGGATAATAAGCCCAATCAGGCTTTTGAGCGCATGCGCTACAATAAGCCCTCCCCTGAAAATA